TAAAATTTTAATCTTTATATTTTAGAAGAGGAGGAGGATCAAGAATATTATTTAATAAATTAATTAAGTTTTCTATTATTTTTTTACATTGATATTAAACCTAAAAAAAAAATCAAAAACTTGAGAATTATATTTAAAAGTACGAAAGTCACAGATACTTTTTCATTCCAGGTAGTGCTGGTCCATTACAATTTTTAAACAGTATTGAAATTAATTTTAAAATTAAAATAATTAAAATCAATTGAATTTGAAATATTTGTATCATAATTTTTTAAATAAAATGTTATCTACGTTGTTAATTTTTATTTTAAACAATTATTATATTAATATATATTTTTTTCTAATGCCAAAATTAAATAAAAACCCATTTATTTGACATTAAAATATATATATATCAATATAATTTGATATTGTTTTTTGGAGGTCAAGAAAAGTCTGTTAAAGAGAGAAGTAGACTTGGTGTAAAGGGATCCATGGGGGGTTAGTGGGTGGTGCTATGCCAAGGTCGCTGGAGTCGTCGAACCACGGGAACCGGTCCTGGCAGGAAGTCGGCTGCTCTCTTCCACAAAGCAGCCGAGACCTCCGTCTGTGGATAACGTCTGACATGTGAGCTCGGTACGTCTGATTTCTTTTTTACTCTCTTGTTACCTCCTATCTACCTTTTAGATTTTACTTTATGCCATTTTTAAGGTAATATGTATATTTATAACGTATTTTTAAAATATTAGGGGGCAAATATTTTGTCAAAAATTTTTAAAATCAAAAATGAAATTCAAAACTCAACCATTGATAAACGTCAACGCGCGTAATTAATTTATAAAATTATAATTTAATACATATATTTACGAAAATATATTTTATAAATCGATATATTTTAGGGAGTTGTGTGTGTGATTGTAAGTATTTTTTAAATATATATATTTTTAGTTGTGTTTGATATTTTCGATATATGTTTATGAATATAAAGGCATGTAATGAATTAAAAATTAATTTATAAATTAACATTTACGCGCGCGCGCGCAAACGTTAATAAAGAGAGAGAGAGGTACAAAATATAATTAAAATATATAATTTGACAATTTTAGAATCGATAAATGAAGTATTTCAAAATCATATTGTTTTCGGGTAAATGTGTAATAACATTTTAATTTTTCTTTAAATTTAAAATTATAAAGCGTCAATAAAATTCAGAAAAAATGTTTACGATATGAAAAGTAACAGTTATATATAATTATATGGAAAGTATAGAAAATATTTTGTAAATGTGTGTGTGAAAAATATATATTTTTTAATGCCATATATAAAATGCATATTTGAGCGGTCACACTATATATCCTTGAATTATAAAGATAATTTCTAAGTTGCGCCTGCGAGGCGATGAAGAAAAAATCTTTAAAAATTAGGAAAAATATAAATGATAAAATTTCTCTTAAAGGGGAGAAATTTGGGGATAAAGAATAGGTACTTTAAACTAAAATTTGTAAATTATTCTTTTAATGAAAAGTTTTCTTAATAATATCATTAATATAAGTATTAAAAATTGATAAAAATTTCGAATTTAATAAAAAAAAATTGTAGCTTGAATGTACTAATTGCGTTATTGATACTTCCATACTATATTTTAGATAATAAAAAAGGCATATATATTGGATCAAAAATAAATTTATTCAACTTATATCTTACCTTTATGCCTTTTAATATCTAAAATTTTAATATGATGGATTGCATTGTGTTTTCAAATAAATTCTATAATTCAAACTTAATAATAATAATACACAAATTTAGTGATAACTTCTAAAAATATTTTGATGTGTGTTTGCATAAACGTAATAATTAAAATAAAATTTCCTTATTTTTAGACTATTATTATTAAAATATAAATGTTGAAGATATTAATCTGCGATTTTAAATGTTTCTTTTTGACCAGTACTTTTGTTTTGTTTTTGCTTTTTCCTAAAATGTTTTTTTTTTCTTCTTCTTCATTATTATTTGTTCTATATGCAAAGCTTTGTTTTTTTTAGACTTGAATAAACAGATTCAAGTTTATTATATTTTTGTGTGCTTTTAAAGTTAAAACACAACAATAAATTCTTTATTTTTTTCTAAAGTTCGTGGTTATTCTCCAGAGAATGAATTTTCCAAATTTTACTACCAAATAAAGCTTTTTTTTTTGTAAAAATAATTTTAAAAAGTTAATTCCACACAGATATCCTACTCAAATATTTCAAAAGTTGAACTTTGAGCAGTGTAAAGAAGCTTTTGATAGTTTTTTCACGATTAAAAATAAATTTAAACCGAATTTTAGTTTTTTTTTTTAAATTGTAAATATTTTATTCTATATATGCATATATTAACTATAGATTACTCACAAATATTAATAGTGGCAATATCTTTTTTAAAAATCCTAATGGCATACTTAATAGTAAGGAATATATTTATTATGTTGTATAACAATGGGTATCGCGGTTATATTAGTAACAAAACGCGAATATCTGGAATTATAGAACAGAAAGGAAATTACATTTATAAATTCAAGTGTCATATATCTATAAAATTTGTAGCAATTAAATTTTTGGAAGTGTGTTTATTCTCTCCCCCTAACATATATAATCAAATATTATCTCTATAAACCTTACTACAATGATAAAAGTTATCCACTGATGAGCCAAGCCATCTCATTCAATAACTTATCATTGCAGTAAGGTCTATAGAGATAATATTTGATGACACATGTAAAAAAGAAACACATTGCCAAAAAATTAATTGTTACCCTTTTATAGAAGGGAAAATGAATGGGATCTGGTGGTAAAATTAAGGTTATCGTTTTATTAAACTATTTGAGATAGCATTTTATAAATATAATATTTGTCTTTTGTTTAAAATACATGTATATATGTTAATGGGAGACATTTTATATTCTTCAGACAATTATTTTTTTTACCTCTATATACATATGAAAATTATTTTATTCATTCTTATATTTAATTTATTTTTTTTCTGAAATTAGAAGTTAAAGGTTAATCAAGTTTCATTTAATGAACTTTATTTATTTAATAAGTCAAATTATAAATATTAGAGTTATATATCATAATATATATGAATTAAAATCTATGAAAAATCCATTAAAATTGGATAGTAGAAAGAACAAAAGAATTAGGTAAAAAAAATATTTTTATTTCATTTTTTAAATTATCACAGAAGCAAAATCGAATTTTCAAATTGACTTTGTACAAATGGTTATTACGATTGACATTCCAAATAAAATTGCAGTGAATTGTCATGATTAAAGACAAAGGTTATCAGAGAATATTGTCAGAGTGCCAAATATTCGGAAGTTTCTAAAAAAATCAGACTATTATAGGCTGTCAAAATGGCGCCAATTGTTGGTTGCCAACAGTCGGCTGCGTTTGAAGAGGTTCTTCCTAAAGGTTAAGGGCACTTCACATTGGCATTGTCTTCTTGAAATTGGTCACCAAACTTCTATTTCGACAGTACCTTTTCTTTCACACACATTTCACATTATTTTCCAACAGTAATTCGTCTTAGATGGGTTTTGTATTGTAGTTAAATAGTGCAATAAGCCTCTGGCCATGAAGGTTATCATCTAAGAACAAGAAATAAAAGAATAAATTGAAGCTCCTACAAGGCGACACATGACATTTCCCAAATTTTCCAACGCTAATTGTGTACAAACTTCCATAAGAGACCGCCTAAAACATGGATAACACCAGCTTCTCCTGTATGCAGTCTTCCACTGGAGGTAGAGTTAACTCAGTTCTCAAGTCAGTTATTATTTTTCAAATGTGGTCATTGGTCAGATGGGTCTCTAATGGGATGTCTAGCCGTATGAAAGAAAACTTTATCGTATGATGTAACCGTTCTCTTTTTTTTTCGGTCTGCTTTTCACATTTGCATATCTTTTAAATTCTTAGTCCAAATTCTCTTGTTTAACTGATTCACAAACCAATTCTTAACAAAGCTATTATTCCTTTTTGATATAATTTCCTACACTTGTGACACACGAGAATCCGTGAGGTCTTTAGGTGGCTTTTTCGAATTTCCCAATCCTGTAATGACATTTTCACTGATTTGCTAGATTTCAAAGAGGAGACCGCTAGAAGACGCGTAAGTAAATTTGATAGGGGAATGGCGTTTCTATTCTTTAAAAGAATATTTTTCCCTCACAGCGTATTATGTGTGCGTGTGCCTGTTGAAATACAAACTAGAAAAGTGAAATGATTTTATTAATGTAATTAAAGGTTTCAAGAAGATTATTGCTCTTTATTAGAATTAATGTGTGTGGTGACCTAATAATATTCATTATTTTATATACAAACAGATATTTGTAAAAAATATTGGCTAAAAAGTCGTTTTTTGATAAAATAGAAACCAAACTTGATTATAAATAAGCCTTTGGTCAATTCTTTAAATAATAATGTTAAAAAAAGATGTTTAGTTTCTATTTATTCAGGTAGATGGCAGTAGCTATCGTTCTGTTGCATGTTCAGGATATATCTTTGCCATCCATTTGACTATTCTGTTTTCCTCTCTCACACATGTAATGATGATGATAAATAACTAAATAACAAGTCAATGACAAAAATACTCTGTTGTAAATACACAATAACTCTTATGTACTTATATGCATAAAAATTACAATATTGGTCATAAGTATATGAACTTGTAATATTTAGTTCATGATAATAGATATCTAATAAATAGTACCTAGTAAAGCATAGTAAGTATTATATACCACAGAGACAAACTAAGATTTTATGTAAGGTGAAGTTCGAAAACATGCATGATCTACATTCTGCGTGCCCCATACATATTCATACCTTGTAAAGAAGAAATCGTAAAACGACACTTGGAGTTACACCGCATGAGTTTCTTTTCAATGAAAAATCAAAATTTATTTCAAGGTTAAATATTGACTATTTCTAACCTTTTTGGATGAGGTATGAAAGGGTGAATTATGAAGAGTAATGATGAACGGAAAAATAAAAGTGTCCAGGGATGGGAATCGAACCCATAATGTTCCGCTTACCGGGCAGATGCCATGTCCACTAGGCTTACTCTTCATAATTCACCCTTTCATACCTCATCCAAAAAGGTTAGAAATAGTCGATATTTAACCTTGAAATAAATTTTGATTTTTCATTGAAAAGAAACTCATGCGGTGTAACTTCAAGTGTCGTTTTACAATCACAGGCCGCAGTGCATTATATATTATATTGTAAAGAAGAAATCCCAAAGATCAAGGATTATAGCTGCCATGTTGAACATGTCTTCTGACGCCGAAGCTTAGGAGAAATAGCCTACTACTTATTTACACATTCGGGATATATTGTTTAAAAAGGCTGTATGATGACGTGTGGAGCTATTTGATTGGTCGATAGGGTAGTCAGGTAGAGTGTACCGCGTGACATTCCAAAGTCACAATGGACCCCACGACACAATGGTGACATCTTTCCGGCCATCGTTTGGGAAGGAGGCCTTCTTTCAGGCTTGCAGGTGTCGTCTGTCTGCTTTCTGTTAGTAGACCATCGTTATTTTTTCTTTTTTTTTGTGTCAGTATTACTTGAATATGATTCTATCGCCTAACCACAATGTATTTCGACCTATAATCGTCACTTTTACTTCATCAATGTTTTTTTTTTTTTTTGGTAAATTTTATATCATTTCATTGATGTTATCATGACATTGTACCATCCCCTGTACTAATGGTGCCCTAGATGATGGTTATACTTAAAAAAAAAAAGATTTTAACGAAAAATTGATTTGGTATTGTCATTTGTCTCAAAAGGCATGATTTGTGAAGAAAAAAAAAATCAAAAAACTTTTCTTTTTACCATTTTCATTTACTTCTTCGTCTTTTCAGAAAATTTACAGAAATCGGCGATCCTTCAATTTTGAAAGAATTTATTTAGGCTAATGTAAATTTAATGTGTGATGTGAATATGTGATGATATTGTTGCTTCCCACTTGGCGTTATTTTACTCTATTAACGAATTCAAAATTCTTAAGGAGGTCCTTAGCACAGTCTCGTCATCCATGAGAGAATCCCATAAACTTTCCAGGTTTTTTTTTTTAGACGGATACACATGATATTATACTAATATTTAAAAAAAAGCTACTTTTGTAAATATATTTGTGATAGATATAGAAATGAGAGATGGGTAATAATGAAATTGAAACCAAGGAAACAAACCAAGGTAGTCTGAAAGCAAAAACTAGTATAATACCACAGAGACAAACTAAGATTTTATGCAAGGTTAAGTTCGAAAAAATGCATGATCTACAGTCTGCGTGCCCCATACACACTCATACCTTGTAAAGAAGAAATCCCAAAGATCAAGGATTATAGCTGCCATGCTGACCATGTCTTCTGACGCCGAAGCTTTAGGAGAAATAGCCTCCTCAAGATATTACGATTTTACGTGTAATTCTTGCATAGGGGGCCAATGGTAGAACCAGAAACATTTAGGATCAAGACAAAATCCTATTATAAGTTGAATGCCGTCTTTAACCATGTTCTCGAAGATCTGTTTAAGGAGGTGTATGGATACATAAGGACTTTAAACCCAAGAAAGGGAGCTAACACGAATGCCATTATCTCTCGCACGTTCTATTCTACTATCTTTTGTTGAGATCGAGAGCCCATTGGTACTGGAGGATCAGAGAAAGTAGCGGAACTTCCGCGTTTGGGCGTGGTTTATGACTTTGGCGACGCCTTCCGTGTGTTTAGCAATGTTTGCTGCCCGTCTACTTGTTACACATAGTTCTACCCAGAGATCTGCTATCTCGTTACTTGTATCAATCAGAAGTATCTATTCAGAATACACTACAATACTTGTTATATCCTCGATGGCATGTGGGATTAAGGAAAGGCAAGCAGGAGACATAAGACGATAGCTTATTTATTTATTTCATCTCAATTTGCAGGTGTTAAATTCGAGCACAGCTCGCGAGTCACCTTGTCCTGGCTATTTACACATGGCGAGTTGGTGGAGTAGAGGTGGTCCCCCCGGACCTTGCAGGAGGGCAGCTGTTGGGCGATGAGCTCTTGACTAAGCGTCATGGCCGGGTCGTCGGAATCGGGGATTGATATCTCCTTTATTTTGTAGAATATCTTCTATGGTTGGATTATTTGAATTTTGCATTTGAAGGTATAATTTCTTAACGGAAGTTTGGTACATATCTTCTAGATCGGGTTGGTTTAAGTCCTCCTTCAGTATCTTGTTTGATAGGTTGAATGGAGATCATAGCTCTTTATTTGGTCAGACTTATATACATGTGAGGATGATAAATTACTAAATAACACGTCAATGACAAAAATACTCTGTTGTCAATACACTACAATACTCTTTAAAGTACTTATTTACATATAAATCACAATATTGGTCATAAGAACGTGTTATATTTACATAAAGTCGATGATAATAGCTATCCAATAAATATAGTACCTAGTGAAGCATAGTGAGTATTGTGTATAATGTTTTTCTTCAATTTACAAGAAGTTTGGTATTTATATTTATCAAACAAACAATTTATACAAAATTACAAAACAACAACAACAACAACAAAAAAGAAATTTACAAAACAACATTGAAAAAAACATATATATAATGAAAAAAAAAAACTTTATGTTTTCTGATTGAAGATTCGCGGGTTACCACAGTTTTTTTTAACAAGTGTATGACGTCCTAAAAGCCGATTTATAAGCTTTGTTTCGTTGTTATATCTTGCTGTTAAATATTTTAAAATTTTATTCGAGACTTTTTCTGAACATTCGCCTCAAAAATAAACATAAATTTCTTTCTTGCTCATTATGTTTCCCTTGAAGATAGAGGTTGCCGCCTGGCCGGCATTCAATATGTTAAAATAAAAGATACTTCGGCTAGAGAAATTGTTTTTATTTTAAAGAACATTATGTTTTTCTTATACTCTTCATTATTTTTATATACAGAATGAGTAGAAGTCAAATTTGTATTTTTATTTCTGAGGTGTAAATTTTCCAAATAAATATTTGAAATATTTAACAACACGATTTAATAATGGAATTTATTGAAACATTTGAAAGGTTATTCACAACATGAGAACATTGGAGAAGGATGAAAAAAGAAGCACAATATTAGAGATTCGCGGTTACTATCCTCAGGCTAATGATGGGGAACTAGGTAAAAAAATTGATGGATGTAGCCATATATTTTTCCAAACAAACATTCAGCCCACAAATGATCTTCAAAAATATTAGAGATTTATATTATTAAATAATAGAAAGAGAAACTCCTATATAGATAGATAACAAATAAAAATGAACTAAGTTATTATCAAGACGTCAAGGAAGATGGGCAATGCATATTGTTAAAAGGAAAGATGTAAAGGGGATTCAAATCTGGTTTGTAAGAATGTAATCGTGACTTTACGATTGCTTCACCAATGAAGTAACGTTACCATGATTTGAATCTGGAAACGCAACAATACAACCTTTGTATATATAATGTGCGATATATTCATTGGAAGATATAAGAGATTATTATTATGAAGAAAGAGTGTTTTTATATTTTTATGAAAAGTGGGAAAAAGCGGTGCTTCCGATGTTTTGTGGTTAAACTTGTCATCGTCTGGTGGTTTTTTTTTTCCCACTTTTCATAAAAATATAAAAACACTCTTTCTTCATAATAATAATCTCTTATAACAACCTTTGTATGTTGCACTTTTTCTCTACTAAGGCCACACAAAGAAAGATAGAGACTCGACAAATTTTAAAAATTTAATAAGATCAACAATCAAAATCCAGGGTTAGATTTCTTTAACTACTTTTATTTCTTTAACTTTTGGGTCAACATGCTCTTCAACAGGAGAACTTGTGCTCCTTGTTAGGAGCAGCTGCACATGGCGTCTGTTCCTCATGTCAGAGGCGGCCATTTCTTTTGGAGCTAAGTCGGCCTGCCACTGAGTAGTGTTCCCAGTCTTAATGACAAAGGCAGATGCAATCTACTTCACCCAGTATGGAGATAAGAAAGAAGAAGAAGAACTAGAAGTATGACTTCCAGTAACTATACATTTGTATACAGGGTGTACAGTTAGCTAGAAGTCATACTTCTAGCTATCCTTTTGAAGAGCATGTGGTCCTGAAAGCCAGAGAAATAAAAGTAAGTCATAGAAACCTGGTCCTGGATTTTGCTTGTTGATAGTTTAATACGATAAGTCAAGGATGAACATATATTATAAATATTAAATATGGATTCTTGTGTGAAACTGGTTGGAGGAAAAAGGATAACCCAAGAAAAAAATGGGAAGATGAGCTTAGCCATAAAGAAAGTGAGGAAAAAAATGGCTGAAAAGAGCATAGGGCAAAGAATAGAAAACCAAAAAGGGATGTTTTCTTCGGTGTATGGATGACATGAGCTGAAGAGGTTACAGAAACTTCCGATAAACAAGAAATGAAGTCATGGTAGGTTAACATCCAGGAAGCAGATGCGCAGTACATCAGCAATTGGAAGAGAAAGCCTTAAGAAATGGGTCAGAGCTCTTGTCATATTTTCCCACATGGTTGACAGACCGACACCCGCCGCGCACGACTTAGCTCGGGAAGAAAGTCTGTCCGGTTGCTAGTCAAAAAATAAAAAAAAATATATCAATGAGTGAGATCATAGAGAGTTCCTTCAGTATTGTTCATTGTTCCTACTTTCTAGCTTTACTAAAAAACTGTTTGATAATAACGCATTGCGAAAAAGTCTGGTCAACAGTCAATAGGATTTTTTTTTCATTGAATATGCATAAAGTGAGATTTTTATTGATTATTCAAAAAAAGTTACTACTAAATTATTATTTTTTAGTGTTAAAATTTTGTAAAATATATTAAAAATATATAATATAAATATATTATTTAATGCTTATGGGAATATTATCTGATTCGGTCGCCACACACACACACACACACACAGTCAAAAAGGAAATAAATAATATTCAATGAATGTGACTTAGAAAAACACTTTTGTATTATACCAATAATTTTTCTACACACTTTTGAAATACTATTTTAAAAAGTTTTTTAAGCACTAGGCTTAGGCACT